TTTTTTTTTTTAAAGATTTTATTTATTTGCCAGAGAGAGACACAGCGAGAGAGGGAACCCAAGCAGGGGGAGTGGGAGAAGGAGAAGCAGGCTTCCCGCGGAGCAGGGAGCGCAGTGTGGGACTCGATCCCAGGACCCCGGGACCATGACCTGAGCCGAAGGCAGACGCTTAACGACTGAGCCACCCAGGTGCCTCAACCAGTATCACTTTTCAAACAAAAAAAACAATTCTGCTTTCCCCGAACACAAACCTCACTTCTCACAATGTACTATTCTTTTCAGTTGACACTGGTACTTAATTTGCTAACATTACATTTGGAATTTTTGCATCTATGTTCATGGGAGTGGTCTGCAATTGTTTCTTGTGGTTTTTTTTTTCCTAAAAATGACTGGGTCAGATTTTGGTATTGAGTCTAGGGTGGGCTTGTGAAAGTAGTCTGAAAGTGTTCACAATACCACTTTTGAGATTAAACAAGGCAGTTCAACTGTTTTACTCTGGATTTTGGCTGTTGACCTTAGTAAGTCATTCTGCTCCACACTGTATATACAATTACCTCATCTCTACTGTCACTGTCCTTCTCCTCCAACGTCTCGTCTTCCCCATCTTCCATCTTCTATCTCCTTCACAAAACGACTCATTTTCTTCTGTTCACCTGGATTTTTTCCCCCCGCTTAAAATGGACACGATTATTAGGCTCATCACAGGGCCTTCAACATTCCATGGGCTAAGCACATTTTCTCTCCGGTATCTGTAATAAGTTTCTATTTGTAACAAACACATGTCAGGCCTCATCTTAAAGTTACTTTCATTTTGAATCTTTCACTCACAGTAGTGAATATCAAAATATTTAGAAAAAGATAATTTTTGGCATCTATTTGTAGGTCAGATGTCCCATACCTTGTCTTTTGCCACGATCTAGAAATGGTTAACTCCTCGAGGTATTAGGCAAGCTTCCAAGAACTCCTCCCTTTCCCTCTCATTCTGTTCCCTTCAACACGCGTTTTCAAATAATTTCGATGTTTTTAAAAAATTGATTCCACTACCAGCTGCTCAAATGAAAGCACACAGGGCCAAAATAAAGCCCCCTTACAGGTAAAAAATCAGTACCTACAATTCAAGTGTCTTTACCTTTACAGACCGAGAACTCAGTGTTAAGTGGAGCAGCGTCCATCTCTACCTCCCTGCAGCACAAATAAGGAGTCTCACACCAGAACCTAGAACCGCCACTTCTCTAGGTAACCCGCACAGTCTCGTCCCTCCTGGGGAGGCGATCGCGGGTGTACGGCCCGGCCCACCCAGAGCCACCGCGCACTGCAGAGCCGGGGGCGAAGCCCCAAAGGGGCCCGCCGCAGCCCGCAGGCGCCGACAAGTCTGGAACGCCCTCCCAGCGGCAACCGGAGACGGAGACCCGGGCGACACACACACTCCGGAAGAAGACGGACCCCTCGTGACTCCGCCTCGGCCAATCAGAGCCCGCACCGCCTCTGGGCCAATCCCGAGCCGCGAACCCAAGGAGGGGGCGGACAAGCGCGAGCCTGGGGGCGGGGTCTCGAGCCGGGGCAGCCAGTGCTACGCGTGCGCGCCGGACGGGCGTTTTAGTCGATTTGTCTCGGTTCTCGCGGGCGTCCTGCCATTGGCCCAGATAGGCGGGCCAGAAGGGGAAATCCCCAGTAAGTTCGGGAATTGGGCGGGCGGCCGCACGTCTCGGCACACCTTTGTTGGTGGGCCCGGAGAAAGTGAATAACCGTCACAAAAGCAGCCTCCCATCGCGGGCTCGTGAGCGAAGCTAGATAGGTTCCAGGCGCTTGCGTCGGTTAACCTGGTTAGGCCGCCACCCGCGCAGTGGGGCGGACGTGAGTCCTCTCATTTCCAGCCGAGAAGGAGGCGCGTGCCTTCTAACGCTGGGCAGAGCCGAGACCAGCACCCGGCAGTCGGCCTTGGGGGTCGCCCTGTTGACCCCGGGCACCGCGCCCTCGCCGCCCGCCAGCGCCTGCCGCTGCAGTGGAAGCAGTGACAGCGCTGATGGTGATAGCCAAGGTCGTTAGTACCTGTTTTGTCCCGGGCATTGTTGCTTTCCACTCATTTTATGCACTTCTCTAAACTTGTGACTTAGATGTTTTAATAGTTTCATTTTACATGTAAGTAAATTGAGGCTCACAGAAAGGGAACTCCACAGCTATTGACTTGCATCCTCAATTACTAAATACTATTTCTTTGAGTTAAAACCATCAGTAATATGCTCTTTCAATCACGCTTAGTACCGGTTGACCCAGTAGAGGATCAAAATCCTAGGAATTATCCCCATACCGGGACTGGAAAAGAGCGCCTTGGGATGTGTGTGTGTGTTTTGGGAGTGGGGAGTCCTAGCTTCAGAAAGTCCTAAACTGGAAGGAAGGAGAATAGGAAAAACAATTTGCCTACATATTTTAGATTTGGTACTTCACTAAAGACTTACCTAACTAAACTGATCAATGACAACTCAAAAGAAAGCAGAAATCCATTTCACCTATGAATAAAGATGCAAGGTTCAAATAAAATATTAGCAATTTGAGCAAATTAAATGAAGCAGTGTAGTAAAAAAAATTATCGACAGTAGGATTTAACCCTGGAATGCACGGATGTTTCAAGGTAAAGAAATAGGTCAAACTAACAGACTAAAGGAAGAAAAACCATGTAATTTGAAATAAAGCCTATCTGTGAAAATGAAACATTTGATGACAAGTTACCAAGCATTCTTATTAAAATCAGTAATAAGAGGGTGCCTGGCTGGCTCAGTCCCTAGAGCATGAGGCTCTTGATCTCTGGGAGGTGAGTTCCAGCCCCATGAGTGGCCTAGAGTTTACTTAAAATAAAAAAAATAAATATATATTTTTTTAAATCAGTAATAAGAGCTTGGGATTTGAATGTCATTCCTAAGGAACAAAGAGCAAAATCTGTAAATGAAATTAAGACATATTTGACTATAAACAATTTAAAACTTCTGGATGCAAGATTGTCTGCAAACAAATTTAAAATATAAGGAATAGGGGCGCCTGGGTGGCTCAGTTGTTAAGCATCTGCCTTCGGCTCAGGTCATGGTCCCAGGGTCCTGGGATAGAGCCCCGCATCGGGCTCCCTGCTCCGAGGGAAGCCTGCTTCTCCCTCTCCCACTCCCCCTGCTTGTGTTCCCTCTCTGGCTGTGTCTCTGTCTCTCAAATAAATAAATAAATAAATCTTAAAAAAAATAAAATAAAATATAATATAAGGAATAAATTGGAAAGAAATATTTGTAACGTACATAACAAAAACTGAGTGTCAGAATATGAAAGAACTATAAATCAGTAAGAAAAAGACAAAAATGGGCAAAGAATATGAAAAGCAATTTTCAAAAGAAATTTAAGTAGCACATAAAGTTGTGAAAAATGCTCAACTATACAACCATCAGGGAAATACAATTTAAAATGATAAGATATCGGGGCACCTGGGTGGCTCAGTTGGTTAAGCATCTGACTCTTGATTTCTGCTCAGGTCATGATCTCAGGATTGAGAGATGGAGCCCAGGTAAGGCCTCGAGCTAGGTGGGGAGTCTGCTTGAGATTCTCTTTCCCTCTTCCTCTGCCCCTTCCCACATCCTACGTACTCTCTCCCAAATGATGTTTTTTTAAAAAAATAAATAAAATAAGACACTATTTGTATCCATCAGATTAACAGAAATTAAAACATCAATTGAAGGGCGCCTGGGTGGCTCAGTCGATGGGCGTCTGCCTTCGGTTCAGGTTATGATCCCGGGGTCCTGGGATCGAGCCCCGCATCGGGCTCCCTACTCAGTGGGGATCCTGCTTCTCCCTCTCCCTCTGCTGTTCCCCCTGCTTGTGTTCCCTCTCTCACTGTCTCTCTCTCTCTGTCAAATAAATAAATAAAATCTTTAAAAAAACCCCAAAAAACATCAATCGAGCTTCTGCTCCGCAGGAAGCCTGCTTCTCCCTCTCCCACTCCGCCTGCTTGTGTTCCCTCTCATGCTGTCTCTCTCTCTCTGTCAAATAAATAAATAAAATCTTAAAAAAAAAAAAAGAAATTAAAACACCAAACAACAAGTGTTTGGGGATTGTGGGAAACCGGCAAATTGTGTAGGGGAGGAAATATATTTTTTTGCTCTACCCTTCTAAGTTCTGGGCTGGGGGCCCTGTAACAAAAGAGATTAACAAGAGAAAAGCATATAAATTTCTTTATCACAAGTTTTATGTAACATGGGAGCCTTCAAAAGGAAATGAAGACCTGAAGAAGAGGGTAAGCCTGAGTGTTTTTATGCTATTTTTGATAGAGACTTATGGGAACATGGATGGGACAAAGGAATATGAGCTCAGTGTAGTAAACTGGGAGAAACAGCAAAGCCTGTTGGTTCAGATTCCTCCTGGTGTCTTAGAGAAAACGGTGCTCCTTTCCTCTGGGTATAGGGAGGGCACCTCTCACATGAGAGCCTATGGCCTGCCTCAGGGTAAGTCAGAGTCCTTCCTGCACCTGCTTTGTGTCAAATTCCTTTAGCTTAAAATATTTAGTATGCCGAGGTGCCATATTTAGGGGTAATTTGTCCTGAACCCCCTTATTACAAACACCCAGAGAGAAATTTGGCAATTTCCAGTCAAGGTAAAAATTCTCATTCCTTACGTTTAGGAATTCCCCTTACCGGTATCTAACCTAGAGGAGCAGTCACACTGATAGACAAATACGTGAATTTTTCTTGCAAACTTAAAAAGAATTTTATTATGGACATTTCCAAACATACATTAAGTAGAGAGAATAAAAAAATGAATCCACCTTTACCCATCACCCAGCTTCAAAACTTCAATATTTTTTTAAGATCTTATTTATATATTATTTGAGAGAAAGAGAGAGAGATTGAGAAAACGAGTGGGAGGAGGGGCAGAGGGAGAAGCAGACTCCCCGTGGAGCAGGGAGCCCGACGTGGGGCTAGATCCCAGGACCCTGGGATCATGACCTGAACCGAAGGCACACGCTTAACCAACTGAGCCACCCAGGCACTCAAAACTTCAATATTTTGCCAATTTTTTCAAACTATTCCTTGCCTCACTTTTCCTCTCTCCTCCGTTCCTTTTTTTTCTTGAGTATTTTAATCTGAATCCTAGGCATCCTATCATTCACCTATAAACACTAATTTAGTATGTGTGGTAACATGCTATTGGCTTGATACCATCTAATAGCTAGTCTGTGTTTGATTTTCTGTCTCAAAAATGTCTTTTTACTGTTGGTTTGCTTGAATTAGGATTCAAAAGTTTCAAAAAATTTTTCAAAAATTTCCACACATTACATTTGGTTGATATGTCTTAAATCATTTTAAATCTATAATAGAGAACCTTATATATATATATGATAGGTGGCACCTGGGTGGGTTCAGTCAGTTATGTGTCCAACTCTTGATTTAGTCTCAGGTCATGATCTCAGGGTCATGAGGTTGAGCGCTGCATTGAGCCCCACATCCAGCCCTGCATCCAGCCCCACATCGAGCCCCATGGCTGACTCGGCACTCAGCGGGGAGTCTGCTTCTCTCCCTCTCCCTCTCCCCCTCCTCTCTCTAATAAGTAAATAAAATCTTTAAATATATATGTAATAGAGAACTTCTTTTATTAAATTTTTAATTTAAATTTAATTAATTAACATATAATGTATTATTAGCTTCAAGGTAGAGTTCAGTGATTCATCAGTTGCATATAACACCCAGTGCTCATTACATCACGTGCCCTCCTTAATACCCATCACCCAGTTACCCCATCCCCCCACCACCTCCCCTCCAGCAACCCTCAGTTTGTTTCCTATAATTAAGAGTCTCTTATGGTTTGTCTCCTTCTCTGATTTCGTCTTTTTTTATTTTTCTCTCCTTTACCCTATGATCCTCTGTTTTGTTTCTTAAATTCCACATATGAGTGAAATCATATGATATTTGTCTTTCTCTGACTGACTTATTTCACTTAGCATAATGCCCTCTAGTTCTATCCACATCATTGCAAATGGTAAGATTTCATTTTTTGAAGGCTGAGTAATATTCCACTGTATATATATACCACATCTTCCATTCATTTGTCGATGGACATCTAGGCTCTTTTCATAGTTTGGCTATTGTGGACACTGCTGCTATAAACATTGGGGTGCAGGTGCCCTTTCAGATCACTATGTTTGTATCCTTTGGGTAAATACCCAGTAGTGTAATTGCTGGGTTGTAGGGTAGCTCTATTTTCAACTTTTTGAGGAACCTCCATACTGTTTTCCAGAGTGGCTGCACCAGCTTGCATTCCCACCAACAGTGTAGGAGGGTTCCCCTTTCTCCGCAACCTCACCAACATTTGTTGTTTCCTGACTTGTTAATTTTAGCCATTCTGACCGGTGTGAAGTGGCATCTCACTGAGGTTTTGATTTGTATTTCCCTGATGCCGAGTGATGTTGAGCATTTTTTCATGTGTCTCTTGGCCATTTGTATGTCTTCTTTGGAGAAATGTCTGTTCATATCTTCTGCCCATTTCTTGACTGGATTATTCGTTTTTTGGGTGTTGAGTTTGATAAATTCTTTATAGGTTTTGGATACTAGTCCTTTATCTGATATGTCATTTGCAAATATCTTCTCTCATTCTGTCTGTTGTTTTTTGGTTTTGCTGTGCAAAAGCTTTTTATCTTGATGAAGTTCCAATAGTTCATTTTTGCTTTTGTTTCCCTTGCCTTTGGAGACCTGTCTAGCAAGAAGTTGCTACACCCAAGGTCGAAGAAGAGAACCTCTTTTAAATGTTATCTATTTATTGAAGAAACCAAGTCATTTGTCCTATAGAATTTGTCCTTATTCTGGATTTGGCTGACACCTTTAAGGTATCTTGAACATATTTGTCCACCCTCAGTTCTTGTAAACTGGTAGTTAGATCTGGAGCCTTCATTAGATTAAAGCTCAGGGTTTTTTGCAGTAAGACTTCATGGTTGGTGGCATGTACTTCTTTTGTCTACCTCTAGGGGGCACTTAATGCCCGGTTGTCCCACTTTAGAGATGTTAAAACTGATCAGACAGTTTGGGTGTTCTCAGCTTCATCATCCATTATAACCATTGGTTTTCCACCTGATGGTTCTAGGCAGTTTGTTTTGTAAAGCAAATGATTGAAAACAATCTATTATTCATTATGGGGGCAGGGGATATGTGTGAGGAAATGATGGGAATCAAATTGCCAGAATCTTAACAGAGGTTAATTTCGGTGCTGGGAATAGAAGTACTACTTTCGGGGCACCTGGCTGGCTCAGTGGGAAAAGAGTTCAAGGGTGTAGAGATTACTTAAATAAATTGGAAAAGAAAATTTTTTAAGTATTACTTTCATTTTTGTACTTTTTTTTTTTAAATTTACTAAAATAGAAACAAAAGAAATCCTGCCTATGCATGTCTAACAAAGGTAAACCAGACAGGGAAAAAGATTGGCGGGAAAATTCCAAATCCAAATTCCAGGAAGAACAGCCAGGGAAGTACAGAGAAGGACAGCAGTGAATGTGGAACACAGTCTGCTTTGCTTTGTTTTTGCCTGTCTGATGTCCACGCCTCCTCCCGACAGCCTTCATTCCCTTTAGGGTCTCCTCCCTCCTTCCCTGGATTCAGTTTTGGTGGAATTGCCCTTAAAGATGCTCCACCCTCCCCTGGCCAGAGCTCAGAGGCCAGTCAGACCCCGTCTCCCAGGACTTTGAGTCTTGAGCAGCATCACTTCCTCCTGGACGCCTTCCCTCCCCTGGGGCAGGTGCCCCTTTTCTGTGCCCCCAGAGTCCCAGCTGTCAGAGCACTTACACGCCAGTATATTTGTATGTCCCCGTTCCAGCTCTGTACGATGCCAGGCGCACGGTGCTCAACAGATGTTAGCTGAATGGATGATGCCCACCTGGCTTTAATGCTGATGAAGGTACATGAATATTAGCTAAAAAGATCCCAGGTCCTCTTGCAGATGTTCCAGAGAACGTGGTAGCAGCTTCCAGGCCTTCCAGTCTCGCCCCAGCCTCGGGCCACTTCTCCTGAGCAAGGGTACTCTTACCAGTCAGGTATAGCCTTCCATGAGTCCCTCCCCTGGACCTTGGGCCTCTGTTCCTAAACAGCCCCCCTGTTGTCCTTCCCTGCCCTGTGCAGAAGCTTGAAACAGGGTGAGGTTGGGGTACTGCGTTTCAAGAGGCCACACAGAGGGACAATTACCTTAGAGAGTAACTACCTTCCTCACACTAAACCTTGTAGATTTAAGCACCTGGACACTGTTTGGAAGGATGCTGTTGTCAGTATGGGCCTGGGAGTTTTATTTGGGTGCAGGCAGGTGGCACATTCTCTGTTTAGAGATGTCAATACCTTTCAGTCCAGTCTGGGTTTGGCCCCAGGTCATTCTGACTTTTAAGGGTAATTAGTGGCTGAGCCCAGATTCAAACCTGGGCAGCCTGACTCCAGAGTCCTTGCTCACCACTTCTGTACCTTACTGCTTTGTCAGGAGAAGCACACTCCGGTTCTCTTCTTGTGCTGACGAGGTTTTTAGACTGTTAGAAACATGTAAATATGTCTCTAGCATCAAGTTTCTTAAGTCTGTCCTCATTTTTCTTGTCTTAAAAAAGAAAAAAAAGATAGGGGCACCTGGGTGGCTCAGTCAGTTGAGCATCTGATTCTTGATTTCGGCTCAGGGCATGATATCAGGGTCATGAGATTGAGCCCCGTGTCAGGCTCTGCACTCAGTGGGGAGTCTGCTTGTCCCTCTCCCTCTGCCCCTCCCCCCTGCTTGTGCGCATGCTCTCTCTCTCTTGCACGCATGCTCTCTCTAAAATAAAATCTTTAAAACAAAAACAGAAACAAAAACCCCACAAAAGATAGTTTTAAAAACAACGAGATAGAGGGACAATGATCATGAAGTACTACAGACTGTTTGTTGTTTGGGGTTGTAACAAATCAGTGATAACATCTGCTCATCTTAGAAATGTGTAAAGATAACCACTAGTAGAACAAACAATGCATAACCTTCAAACCAGTGAACAGATGAATCTGTTAAGGTTCTCAGCTGCAAACAACAGCAAACGCCTCTAGCCAACTCAAGCAGAAAAGGAATTTATTGAAAAGCTCTCAGCAACTCAGAACATCAACAGGAAGGCTGGAAAAGCTGGCAGAGAAAATGGGCAGAAACCAAGGGAGGCTGGGTGGCAGGAGGCCCACGGATCGTCACGGGGCTCAGTATCACTCGCTCCAGAGAAGGAGTCCCATGTCGGATCATCCAGCTGTCTGAGTGCAAGTCATGGGCCACAGGGTGACATCAGCAGTGGAGAGCATCTGGGAGCCTTTCAGCTTCTGTAGTGAGAGCCTGGGCTTGGTCTCCAATGAGTCACACACTGAGGGGTTCCCACCCCCCTCCCTCCCACACACATGGGGAATGGGAGGCCCTCAGTGGGTGCCAAGCAAAGAACATGCCAGGAGTGGCTCTGGGGGGGTGGTGCGGGGGGACACAGAGGTCGGGGAAGGGAACAGGAGTTGGGGGGTGGTGAGCTGGTGAGGAAGTAGAGAATAATTTCCGCCTTGTTGGTCTTAGGTTTTCCAGCAGTTCTGTTACGAGCCGTGATTTATGCACACACACAGAAAACCACAGGTGAAGTGCCGAAGTGTGACACTCTGAAATGTCAGGGCCCCTTTTATTTATTTATTTTTTATTCTTTTTTTTTTTTAAGATTTTATTTATTTATTTGAGAGAGAGAGAATGAGAGAGAGAGCACATGAGAGGGGGGAGGGTCAGAGGGAGAAGCAGACTCCCCGCCGAGCAGGGAGCCCGATGCGGGACTCGATCCCGGGACTCCAGGATCATGACCTGAGCCGAAGGCAGTCGCTTAACCGACTGAGCCACCCAGGCGCCCAGGGCCCCTTTTATTTTGCAAACAAGGGACCAAGGCTGGGAAAGGTGATGCCACCTGGCAAGGAGGTGGCAGCAGGGCTGAGATCAGAACCAGGTCCCCCGGATCCCTGGCAGCCCCACTGCCCAGCCACCCCACCAGGTGGAGATCCAGACTGGGTGGGGGCCTTGGAGGATCAGGTTGGCAGGGGTCCCAGGCACAAGCCAAAAGCTAGAGAGGGCCAGAAGGGGTCAGAACCTACAGAATCTCAATGAGAAATGGGAAGGAAAGGTGGGGCCCCATGAACACATTTCAGAAACTGGGGGTGGGGGTGGGGGAGACCCCAGGCGGAGGCTTGCTCTGCCAGTTAACCAGCTGCCTTGTTTCTGTAGAGGAAGGACTTCACCTGTGGGCCTGGGGCTCTGGAGGGCAGGCAGCGACCTTATATCCCTTCCAAAATCTTGGGTGGGGGGAGTCGCTGAGGTGCCGGTCCGAGCTTATCGGCTGAAGTGAGGACGGGGCACAAGGGGGAACAGGTCATGAAGAGGAGGGCAAGTGTGGCTCCCAAAACTGCGTGTGGCACTCTGGCACTCAGAGGGGGTCAGTCTCTTGCAGCCCCTCGCAGCCACCATTCTCAGTCAGCGGGTGGATCCTGATGCCCGGGGGGCCCAGGTCACACAGGGTGCTGCCCATGGTCACCCTGCTGAGGCTGTGGGAGTTGCGGCAGGGTCTGTGGTATTGGCACTGAGTCCCCAAGCACAGGGCTTCCTGGAAAGTCTCCCTGAAGCGGCTCGACATGATGTTGTAGAGCACAGGGTTAATGGCCGAGCTGAGGTAGAAGAAGACGCCGGAGGTAACATGCACGTACTGGAAGGCCAGTTCCAAGCCCTCGGTCCACTGGTACACAAAGCTCCACATGAGGCGGTCAACGTGGAAAGGGGCCCAGCAGATCCCAAACACCACGACCAGCACAACTGTGGGGGTACAAAGGGGAGACTTGGGTGCCTGCCAGACTGCCTTCCCTGGGCTTCAGGGTAGTCTGCCCATTCTCACCGTGCCACCCATGCCCACTGTCCATCTGGAAGGCTCTGGAAGGCTGCCTGCGCTAGCCTCAGCACCCCCTTCAGAGAGGCTGGGCCACCGTCACTGCCTGGGCAGTGGGCGTGTGCCCTACCCCTGGCCACAGTCAACTGGACCAGGTGAGGATGCCTGAGCCAAGCTGGCCCAGTCTGGCTCTCCCATCACAGAGTTTGGAACTAGGTGGCTCTTAGCTAAGAGGTCGCCCAGCTTCCCAGAGCTTCCCTCCAGCTGTGGCGTCAACCAGCCATGCCCTTCCTCGGGTCTCTGTCATCGGGCTTGTCTTGATTTTTGTTTCTTCTTGCTTGTGTTTGCTTCTCTGACTGCCTGTCTTCCCCTGCAGTGCCTTCCCCGCCACACCCCAGCACCGTTTTCCCTCATCATCCAGGATGTCGACCAGGATGCTGCTTACAACATCCCCAGCCCGTAGCCTGATGTACCTAGTCCCTCAGAAAGCGAAGCTGGGGGAAGGAGGGAGGGAGGCAGGGAGAGAAGAAAGCCGGAGCCCCAGGCCAGCAAGCAAGGCAGCCTTAAGGAAACACCCCAGCTTCCCAGGGCGAGAGCCATCCCAGCTGAGCAGACTTGGTCCCTGCAGGGCAAGGGAATAGGGGGCAGAGGCAGAGTGGGCAGGGGGCGGTCTGTAGTGCAGGCTTCGCAGGGCACAACTGAGAGGCAAGCTTGAAACTCTGGGGTCAGTCCCATTTTAGGGAGTTGCTCAGGTGGCCTTGGGCTCTGGGACACTGTCCTGGGGGACAAGAGGAATGGATCTCTCTCTGGGAATGGGACAGTCCCCAGTTAGCCGGCTATAATCCCATGGCTTTGACCAAGGTCTCACTACCTCTGTCTTGCCCTGGCTCACTCCATCTACCTGATTCAGGCCCCGCTAGGGTGGGGCAGGATGGGTAGGAAATCAAGGATTGGCCTAGTATCATTTTGTCTGGCTTCCCCAGGGCCTCTCTTTTTGTAAAAGAGCCAGATATAGACCACAGAAAGACCCAGAGCCTCAACCCAGCTGGCCGGCCCCAATCCTTCTGCCCTGACTCTCCTGTGCTCTGCACACTGACCCTCACAAACACACCTCCTGACGAGCTTCTATTAGACAGTGGGTCCTCTAGGAACCACAGATACAGCATGGAGGAAATGTATCATCTTGCCCCTCCAACACCTTGCTCCCCTTCTTTCGGGACCTTTGTTCCCCTCAGATCCCAACATGTGAGTCTGTGGGGGCTGCAAACCACAACAGGCTGCCACTCCGGCCTGGGGACAGGCTATGACCTAAGCCCACCAATCAGAATCCTGCCCTGGGACAGGCACAAAGGGAAGAGGGCAGTTCCTCAAGAAAGAGGAACACTCTGTGCCCATGGCCCTGCCTCCCAGGCTGCTCTAGGGAAGGACAGAGCCAAGACAAGTTCAGGAGCAAAGATGAGAGACCTGGCAAGTCCAGCTCCCACGTGCCCCTGCCCAGTCCGTGGCTGGATTCCATGAGTCAGTGCCAGCCACCTGGGGGGAGCACCACCTGTGCATCTGCATGGGCCTCCAAGCTGAGAAGCACCCCGGGCTTCGTTTAATGCTCGACTACTGCTGTCTGGACCATCATGATGACTTTGAAACAAGGGATCCCCAAATTTGCATTTTGCACTGGGCCCCACAAATCACGTGGCCCATCCTGCCATTCACCTTTGGTATGAGTTTCTCACCAAGTAAAGCACGCGCGCGTGCACACACACAGGGCAGGGTGGGGGTGGTGGGGGCAACCCCGAACCTCACACTCAGCCTCCATCAGAAACCCAAACACTCAGCCCCCCGGGTCCTGGAGGCTCTAGCCTCGTACCCAGGGCTAGGCCCAGCCTCTCTTCCCAGCAGCAACACTTACACAGCATCTTGGTCACCTGTGTCCGGCCCCGATCCTGCGACCGCTGAAACCTGCAGCTGTCACTGGGCCTGGCCCTGGCCTCCTGCCTGAGCAGCCGCAATCTCTCACGCCGCAGCTGAAGCCCGATGAGCAGGTAGAGCACGCTGATGGTGGCCATGGGCAGGCAGAAGAAGAACAGAGTGGTGATCTGAATGACCAGGTTGTAGAGAGGCTGCGGGTAGACCAAGGTGCACCTAGCCGAGTGGGGCACTATGCCCCGGCAGGGCAGTTCCAGCTGCTGGATGCCATGCAGGCTGGTGTTAGGCAGAGAACAAAGCACAGCGAGGCCCCAGATGGCCCCGAGTACACGGCGCACGTGGACTCGAGTCATCATGGACCTGGCCTGCAGCGGATGCACCACGGCCACGTAGCGCTCCACACTCAGGGCGGTGACATTGAGCACGGAGGCCAGGCAGACTGTCTCGAAGAGCAGCGTGCGGAAGTAGCAGCCCCCAGCGCCCAGCAGGAAGGGGTAGTTACACCACATCTCATAGAGCTCCAGGGGCAGACCCACAAGCAGCACCAGCAGGTCGGACACAGCTAGGCTGAAGAGGTAGTAGTTGGTGGGGGTGCGCATGGCCTTGTGGCGCAGGATGACCGTGCAGGTCAGCCCATTGCCCACGGCGCCCACCACGAAGATCAGCAGGTACATGGCGCAGATGGGCACAAACAGCTCTGTCTGCTGGGGCCCCAGGTACTTGAGTCTCAGTTCTTCATCAGTGAGGTTCAAGTCCTCAAGGTCGTGGAGCCTCGAGGCCCTACTGCCATTGCAGGGCACCAGGCTCCTTGCATCCCCTGGGGACAAGTCTCCAAGGCGGATGGAGCAGTTGAAGCAGAGAGGGGCCTGTGGAACAGAACAGAGAGACACCCAGAAAAGTCACTCAAAAATGCCCGGTAATTCATTAAACCAAAGGTGCCAGGGACACTAAGAGGAACGATATTTTAGGTACCGCTGGGAAATAAAAAACTCTGTCATCCATTGTAAGGTGTGTGACAATTTCAGAGATGTAAAAGTGTACATCTTAAAAATGAGAAAAAGCAGGGGCGCCTGAGTGGCTCAGTCATTAAGCGTCTGCCTTCGGCTCAGGTCATGATCCCGGGGTCCTGGGATCGAGCCCCGCATCGGGCTCTCTGCTCCGCGGGAAGCCTGCTTCTCCCTCTCCCACTCCCCCTGCTTGTGTTCCTGCTCTCGCTGTGTCTCTCTCTGTCAAATAAATAAATAAAATCTTTTTAAAAAATGATAAAAAGCAGGATTCGGTTCTAAATGTCATGATCCACTGAAGTCTGAATAAAGGATGGTTCCTCTGGAGCATGAGCTTTGCAGTCAGCAGTCTCCCCTTGGGTATCTCCCCTTTCAAGCCCTGGACTTCGGGAGAGAGACTCAGTTTGGGCATCTATAAAATGGGCACAACATGCAGTACCTGATCTTATCAGTATGGTTTTTAAGAACAAGAATGAAACTGGACCATTTCCTTACAGCACACACAAAAATAGACTCAAACTGGATGAAAGACCTAAATGTGAGACAGGAATCCATCAGAATCCTTGAGGAGAACACAGGCAGCAACCTCTTTGACCTCAGCTGCAGCAATTTCTTCCTAGAAACATCACCAAAGGCAAGGGAAGCAAGGGTAAAAATGAACTATTGGGACTTCATCAAGATAAAAAGCTTTTGCAGAGCAAAGGAAACAGTCGACAAAACCAAAAGACAACCGACAGAATGGGAGAAGATATTTGCAAATGACATACCAGATAAAGGGCTAGTATCCAAAATCTATAAAGAACTATCAACTCAACACCCAAATAACAAATAATCCAACCAAGAAATGGGGAGAGGACATGAACAGACATTTCTGCAAAGAAGACATCCAAATGACCAACAGACACATGAAGAAGTGCTCAACATCGCTCGGCATCAGGGAAATCCAAACCAAAACCTCAGTGAGATACCACCTCACATCAGTCAGAATGGCTAAAATTAACAAGTCAGGAAACGACAGATGTTGGCGAGGATGCAGAGAAAGGGGAACCCTCCTACACTGTTGGTGGGAATGCAAGCTGGTCCAGCCTCCCTGGAAAACAGTATGGAGGTTCCTCAAAAAACTGAAAATAGAGCTACCGTATGATCCAGCAATTGCACTACTGGGTATTTACCCCAAAGATACAAATGTAGTGATCCGAAGGGGCGCGTGCACCCCAATGTTTATAGCAGCAGTGTCCACAATAGCCAAACTATGGAAAGAGCCTAGATGTCCATCAACAGATGAATGGATAAAGAAGATGTGGTATATATATACAATGGAATATTATGCAGCCATCAAAAAAACCAAAATCTTGCCATTTGCAACGACGTGGATGGAACTAGGGGGTATCATGCTAAGCGAAATAAGTCAATCAGAGGAAGATAAGTATCATATGATCTCACTGATATGAGGAATTTGAGAAACAAGGCAGAGGATCATAGGGAAAGGGAGGGAAAAATGAAACAAGACGAAACCAGAGAGGGAGACAAACCATAAGAGACTCTTAATCTCAGGAAACAAACTGAGGGTTGCTGGAGGGGAGGGGGGTGGGAGGGATGGGGTGGCTTGGTGATGGGCATTGGGGAGAATATGTACTATGGTGAGCGCTGTGAATTGTGTAAGACTGATGAATCACAGACCCGTATCCCTGAAACAAATAACACATTATATGTTAATAAAAACAATTAAAAAAAAAAAAGAACAAGGGCTCTGGAAGCAACTGCCTGGATTCAAATCCAACCTCCCCAGTTCTGGGCTGTGTGACCATTTGCATGGGAACCTCTCTGTTTCCTTATTGCAAGGATCCAGGCAGTTTAATCTACAAAAGGTACTAGCGTGGGGCCTCCTGACACACAGAAGGGCTTGGTTGTCAGCCACCTCGCAGTGAGGACTGAGTCACTGTGGGGATCAAGCGAGGGGGTAAAAGGGCTAAACACGAGAATGCTGACCCAAAAGTTGGTCCTTATTTCTGTTTCCTAACACCTGCACTGTTAAAAGTTGAAATATTTGACAACCTTGACATGGCCGGTTCTGGGGTTCCCTCTCCTTTGTCGGGTCCCCATCTCTGCCAGTCCATGGGATATAGTGGTTAAGGACCCAGGCCATGGAGCTAAACACACTGGCCCGAGGTCAAATGCCAGCTCAGCTACACTCTAGCTGTGACGGCTCCTCACTGTGCCTCAGTCTTCACATCTATAAAATGGGGGTGTCCACAAAGCTTACCTCATAATTTCTGTGAAGATTAAATGTGAAAACACATATAAAGTTCTCAGGGTGTGCCTGGTACATTTCAGGTGTGCAATATCAATGCAGAGTAACAGTATCCTTACTTCCCACATGGAAAGGGAAAAACGGTCCAAGGGAGGGGCACGTGGCTGGCTCAGTCGGTCGCTTTTGATCTTGGGGTTGTGAGTAGGAGCCAGATATTGGGTGTGGAGATAACTTAAAAATAAAATCTTAGGGGCACCTGGGTGACTCAGTCATTAATCTACCGACTCTTAATTTCAGCTTTGGTCATGATCTCGGGGTCTTGAGATCAAGCCCAGTGTCAGGCTCTGCGCTCAGCAGGGAGTCTGGGATTCTCTCTCTCCCTCTGCACCCCCCCTCAAATAAATAATTCTTTTTTTTCCCTAAGATTTAGTGCAGAATTCTTTTTTATTTTTTAAGATTTTATTTATTTATAGTCAGAGAG